AGTTCTGTGGAAAGTGACATACGCTGCACCTACTTGCTCTGAAACTTGAAAAAATTTCAACAACTTTTCTTTATTCTTCCGTATATCATACACAATAGTGTCGCAATTCCATACCATTCTGCTATAAATCGAGGTGTAGCACCTGCTTCCATTTTTTGCAGAATTTGCACTTTTTGCGTTAACATCGATGCAACGTGTTTACGTTTTTCAACGTTGCAAGCAGTTAAAATCAGCGTGCAGTGGCGTAGATAGGGTGTGAGGCAAGGCGGGAAATGTCCCGGGCGCAGACCAGGGGGCGCAAATAGTAGAAATTTTTACTGAATGTTCTATTCTTGGCACACAGAAAGGCGCAACTTCTTCAGTTGTCCGGGCGCGGGAATCTAGCATGAGTGCGTTTTATTGTTATGCATTAAAAGGGCTGAAATCAAAATATTCTTAATTTATCCAAAAAATATCGGATAAAAAAAGGGAGCACTAAAATATCGTGAAATGAAAACAAAGCTCAGAAATAAACAACGTAATCATGAACTTGAACAGAGTTCAGTAATCGTCTCTTTTTACTAGATGCATTAGAGGGAAAAAAAACTTATTTAAGTATTTTAAAACTTTTTATATCATAATTTGGTATTTCTGTTTTGACTCATTATTATTCAGTAATTATGACGTCATTATTCGGTATTTTTTTCTTCGATATTTCGTTCTCAATGTTGAGGTTTCCGGAACCAATAGACTGAGTGTTTTTATTTTGAGAGGCAACGCTTATTTCAGGTCAACGGATTTTCGGTATTTGACTGTATTACCTTATTATTGGAATAAATTTATTTAGGAAAGGTGATCATTTTTGTCTTATCAATGCTAAATTTAAGCTCGAGTTTGAGGCTCCAGTCAGTGATAAGATCTAATGCTTTTTTCGCTTTGTTTTCTATTTCAGTGCAATTACCTCCTTGAATGATTATGATAAAGTCGTCAGTGCAGGCCTGGATTTGTGAATTTCCTTTGAAATCTATATCTAGTGCAGTATTCTCAAAGACATTCTATAATTTTGGACCATTGGGGGAGGGGACGACTCTGTAATAGTCATGGGTGACACTGACCCCATCTCGCTGGTAAGTGACTTTACAATTGTGAAGGAAACTGCCTACGATCCGAGAGATTCTTAGGGGTTAACAACAGGGTTGTCACTCAAACATGAGAATGAAATTCCTTGACTTTTTCAGCTTCTCCAGGTGTGTTTTAGGAAAATTCCAGGCTATCTGTGTTAGCTGTGATGAGAGTAAATTAATTATGATACCAATTGAAACCACATATATTTGCCAATTATATAAGACTACGTATACACATATATATAATCCTTAAAGTATATAATAGAAGTTGTTTTCTCCACTGAGGACTGAGATTTATATAAATTTTAAGAAACCTTATTAAATGATACGAATAACATTAAAATAAAGTTAATTACTTAAAGATTAAAAACTGAGCTACAAAAATCGATGGTATTTCGTAGATGACTGATTTTATATATATATAATTTTAGTGCAAAATGACAAGGCATTTAAGAAAGCACAAAAGGTTAAAAGTTTTTTTTTTTTTTTTTTAATACGAGAATGGGGAGAATTTGCTTTCGTTCAACATGCCCTGCACATAAGCATGGAAACCAAAGATGCTGGAAACTTGCTTTGCCTTTCGAAAAGACAATCTCGATGCCTTTCAAAAGAATGATGCTCACACAATATATAAATATATTCGATAAGAAAGTGATTGCTTCTAAAATTGGCACAAAAATCGCTTTTTTTGGGGATCGCCATATGAAATTCCCCGACTTTTCCCAGTTTTTCAGGTAGCATGGCAACACTGTAACAATGAATTATGCTGTGTGATAACTTGAAATTTTTCACAAGAAAGTGGTGCTGCTTTATATATTTGAGTATTCGAATGAAACACATTGGGATGTTGCACTTTAAGTTGTTTTCTAAATGTTAACTAAAGCTTTTTTATCATCTTGGTTTGAAATTCTGTGACTAATTGTTTTGTTCATTACACTATTTGATGCACATCTCTGCGGGCTAGAATATGGTGCATATAATAGTAAAATAGCTCTACATGTACCCATATATAGCAGACATTTTGAAAACTAATTCACTTTCAACCTATTTATTGCCATGGTCCTCATTTGGGGATTTATCTTAGTAGCAGAAATTTGCTAACTTTACTTAGGTTGGCAACAATGGTTATTTTTTTACATTGTTGTTTAAACCTTTCACAAGGTTTTGTGTGAGTTGTTGAGTAGTACTTGTTAAATGAGTGACCTGGAGAGTATTATTTGTGAGAAGTAAAATTTTTGCGAGTTTCAAGATTTCAACATTTTCAAAATGTGGTATGTCATATTATTATGTACATCATTTCCAACTCCTGTGTACTGCAGTGGTGTTCTTTCATGGTTTTAGAATAAATTTATTAACTATTTATTCTCAACGTGAATTTTTCGGTGAGGGCTACTTGAACGTCGATCCTCATTTGGGGCTCATGGCAGATTCCATTTATATTCCAATTTCCACTATGTCAATCTAGACACAAAGAAATAAATGTAAATCGAGAGCAAAAAAATTGGCAGTTAATGGGTTAACTCTACAAGAAATGCTTTAAGATAAACTTCTCTCATAAAACTTAATGGTGACAGAAAAGGACAATAATACAAGAAGCGATATAAAGTTAAAAGCCTTAAATCTGTGATACGAGGGCTATCCAGAAAGTAGATTACGTTTTGGAATAAAAAAATAAACAAAGTATAGGAAACAAATTTTATTATATACAGATGAAAGCCACACTCAAAACTACTTTTTACATAGTCACCATTACAATTAAGGATTATCGTAGCGAGTACGAGCCTGGAAATTCCTTCGTCGAAAAATCGGCCGCGAGCCTTCACCACTCGTACCTCTTCTTGCCTTCCATCTTGCCACAAATGTGGAACAAGCTTTCGCTGATGATTTCGTGCAAAAAACTTCGCGAAATTGGGGAAACTCAAAGGAAGTCCGTTATTGTGAATTTCGATTTCACGGACTTTGCATCACTTTTTTGAGAAGTTCGGCGGGTCACTATGCTGGGTCTCCCACTTCGATCTTCGTCGTGAAATTGGTTCGGCCATTTTGAAATCTTAGGACCCTGACGCACTCCACTTCAGTGATAATGTTGTCCCCTACACTTACGAAGAGCCGATAGATTCTATCGGTTTACAGTTTTTGCGTCAGAAACTTATTACTGAGCGCACCTCGCGGGATTTTCAATTAACGCAGACATTTCAAACCGTCACAGTATCTGAACGGAGCACAGCACGAACCTCTCACTAGCAGACTAGAGCAGACTGAGCTGCGCAACGCTCTGACTCCAAGATGGCCGCGCTAGCCCCGCCCCTAGCGGACACAGACGGAAACGTAATCTACTTCCTGGATGGCCCTCGTATTTTTTAACAACAGTGCAAAACTAAAATGCAACTGTCATTACATAATATTCAATATTATAAATAGACATTAAACTGTTCCAACATTATTCTCACAGACTAAATTCTGCTTTGGAAACTGTTCCAACATTATTCTCACAGACTCAATTCTGCATTGGATACTTCTTCACAATTACCGTAGCATCGATGAATTCTGATTCATATCCATGCAATCAAGGAGCCTATGAATCACAATATCTCTTCTATCTACTTTTATCTATAATGTTGTGCATAATGTTTTTTAAAAATATCAAACATTTAGAAGCCAAGAATATCTGCATTCTCTTTAGCTTAATGGTTAATGTGCTAGATTTGGGATAACCAGATATCGGAACTGAATCTTGATAATCACCATTAATTTTTCAATACTTTTAATATTCTTAAAAAAGTTTACATTTTCTCCCTAAACTTTCTGAAGTCATGTTGACTTTCTCTTTCATTTTCCCTAAGTGACTATAAAGTATTTTTTCTCTAATTCTGCTCTCTATTTAATCTTTACGATGTTGAGTTAATTGGTTCATTATGAAAGGGCACTCTGAAAAACTAACCCTTAGATTATTGACATAAAATGAATTCTCAAAATTTTATTTATAACCCACCTGTCAGGAATATTTATATTTGAACATATCCAAGATATAAAATGCAGGGTATTCAAAACAAAATTTTAATGTACATTAAGCACTCAAATTTTAATTTACCAGAGAAATCTGAATTCTTCAGAAAAATGAGACAACTGTTCAGAGCATGAAATAAATCCCAACAAAAGTTCAGAGAACATTTATTTAGGTAGATATATTAATGTTCTAATGTGCTGGAGGAATCTAAATAGAATACAAAAAGGTAATTGTTTTTAAAATAAAATCATATTGTGTCTAAATTCCACATGAATTACTGTGCAATTCATACACTTTTTGAATTTTATAATTTTAATCATCATTCATACAAAAAATTAACACCACATTTTATTAAGTTTTGTAAATGAGTTTAATATTGAAAGTAACAAATAAATTTTTTGTAAATATTTTGCTGAATATCAGAAATCAGTTTTATAAGTCCATTAAAAACAAATTTGTAATAATTTAAGGTCTGAAAGGATGTTTAGTAAAAAATATAGAATGATTTTTTAAATAAAAAATATATCAACACCAGATTCAAGTCTTGAACAAAAGACCCTACCGATAAATGCTCCTGTTTCCCACACTGTCCTTGTATTAGTACATATAATGGTAACTGTTCCTTGGATACCTCTGCTTTTCACTCATAACTCACACTATGCAATTGAGCATAGTTTAAAAGTACATTTTTAATAAAAGCTCTTAAAATACTTTTCCTATTTAATTATATGAATATGTGTATGAAAGAGTGTATGAAAGTTTTAAAACATACGTTTTAAAACATAGAAAATGGCATTAACATTTCAACATTTGTTTCCATTATGAATAGCTATTTTCAGAGTATATATATTGACAATAAAATATGAAATAACTGCACACAAATGCATCTGTAATAACTATTACATTGTTTCTTTTAATGTATTGGTCCTTAGCACATTTCTGCAGCCATATTATAAATACTTATACATACTTGAAGCATTTAGCTTTATAACAGCAGTTACTTTTCCAAGCAGTAATTAAATTATAGCTTAAAAATATATGCAGGACTTTAATTAATGGGAATAATGTATGCATTTATAAAATGCACTGTATCTCACCAAGCATGAATGGCAGTGTTTTTTATGTAACACAGCATTTTATCAACAATATTAACAAAATTAAAAAATAACAAATTTTACTCCTCTCTAACTAGAGCTTTAAAACTTTACCTACATTTTCAAAGTCTATCAGTTATAACATTTGAAAATTACTTTTAATTTGATAGTTTTCAAAATGATATACGAAAATATTCATCTACGATAAATTAAAAACAAAAATATACCATAACTTGTACAACTTAATGCTAAATATTCAACTATGAGCAAAAATATTAGAAAATAAAAGCTATTATACTTTAAAAAACGCTTAAATTTCTGCTAAAGTTCTTTATGCTCATAAGCAGCAACTTATTCAGTATATCATAAGTTGTCGTAGTAAAGATTTATCAAACAGTAAATTTGTATCGTGCAGAAACAAATACTTATAATAATTTACAAATGACAACCTAGGTAAGATTTTAAACACTCTACAAAATTACTACACAATTTCAAACACATACAAACATGATTACCACTTTGTCAATAATTCAATTTTAATACTTCCACAACATATACAGAAAAGCAAAGTAATCAATACAGAAATATGAATTTATAAACACAGATGTCAAGGTTATGAATATTTTCTGCTGAATTTTAACTAGAGAGGGGGAAGGCAGATCTAGTTAATAAGTAGAACTACACAACTTGTGTATCCAGGTTAAAATGGTCCAGCATTTCCTAGATGACTCTGATCTATAAATAAGTATCCAGCTATACAGTGGGATGTGTAGCTCTTGTGATGCACAAAAACACACTAGTACAAACTTTCACATTTGCAGTCTTTACTGAGCATTTACTTACAAAAACCACAAATAAATTCCAAGCTTTAAACTGCTTGCACATTATTTATAAATTAATGCTATTATCTATACAGAAGGTAAATAACTGATGTATCAGCATTCACAAAAAATAGTTTCAACCACACACAAATAAAAAAATTCAGAGAGGAAAAAAGCTGATCCTACACAAGATGAATAAGCTTTTTTAAAAAGCAGTCTTTTAAAACATAATCTGAGAAAAAAAACAAAATTAATTTCTGTATACCATGTCCTACACAAAACAGTTAAAAGCCTTTTCTTTAACCCTTTTAAACTATTTGAATGTAATAATTTAATAACTTACTTCCTATAACGAAAAACATGAAAGAATTCAATCTTGATTACGAATCAATGCAATACAAGCAACCAAATATAGAGTAATAGCTAAACGTTTGATTCTTAAATACACACTGATGAAGAAGGTAATTGAAGTTTTATGAATATTGAATAATTCCATTAGTTATAAATATGAGATAGACACCAATAAGTATTTCTGAAGTTACTTGAAAAAAAATTAAGTGATGGTTTAATTACAATTCAGGAAACAAAGACAAAATATTAAAGTAAGCATTTTCAAGGAGTTATTCAGTTAAATAAAAAGGAAAGAAAAATGCATAATCAGGTTTATTTCTTTAACCAGCTTAAAATTATTTTCTTTTATGATAGCGATACTGTGTTAAGTATGAACAACTTGCCAACAATTCATCACGTTTTTCACAATGATAGTTAATTAGGCTGGAGATTATGATGAATTATTGCACAATTATTAGCTTGTCTGCACTAGCACAGTGTAAAATTTGCTGTTGGAAGTGTTTTTAATTCAATATGAAGAAAGTAAATGATGACTCGAACCACTTTTTAAAGTAAAATAAAAGCCTCTTTTCTTGGTAGACAACACAGTAGAAGATTAAGCCCCTAATACTGTAAACAAAATAAAATTATAATTATTTATAACATAATCTTTTTTTTTTTTTTAAATTTGGCTTTAAAAGATCAGTGCTGCAATAATTACCTGCTAGAGCTTCAGAAGCAAAATATCTAACATCCATATCATTGTCATTGTTCAATTTGTCAAGGCAAGGCTTCACTTGACTCTCTAAAGCCCTAAAAAATTCAAAGTAAAAACATAAACATATATATATATATATATATACATAGCGCTATAACCTCAAAATAGTCTCAAACATGTAATGAAATTTATAAATTTTGCTTGCTTTTAAAATTAATTCAAATTATATTATGCTTTGCTTTTAAAATTAATTCAAATTATATTATGCTTTCCCCCCATCTGTAATATTCATTTTTATAACAATCATATTTACTGCAATCCCCCAATGAACTTTTATAGCTCATTTAGCATTTTCACTACGTTTAAATGCAAGTCTTTTGCACACAATACATAAGTGAGAAATTGAACAATATTTTCAACCTCATAACTTTCATTTTTTGGGGGATAAAATGTGATTTATATTCAGTTTCTAGTATACAACATTGTGTAGTGGTCATCAACTTGACTATCATAGCTTATCTTCTCTGAAAAGTCAAGGTAATAAATACAGTTGCATAATAGATTCAAATCCCGATTTGCAAGATGCATAAAACATAAAGCTGCAGCAAAAAAATTACCTTAAAACAGACACTTTCTATATTAGGATTGGTTATGAATAAACTGATGAATTATAAAGCAGTTTCATGGCGAATTTTTAAGAGAACAGGTTTTCACCAGATACAGAATGTCTAATTTGTCACCGAACAATAGCATTTCAACTGCTGATATCTGTATTATTAACATGTAGAAAATAAAAAATCCACAGGTTCTATCAAAATGCTATTTGGAAACAGTTATCAAAGAAGAAAAGGTAAGGAAATAAACTGGTTCCTCTAACCATTGTTTAAGTATACACCATAAAAATAAAAAATTAAAATGTTTTCACAGCCTACGTGCATACAAAATACATTTAAAAATAATTTCCGAGTTGTTAACTTTCGCTTTTCCATCCTAAGAACAGTAATTGCTTATATAAGACTTCAGCCAATAATGATTTCAACTTTCGAAACAGGAATTTATTAATTACTCGCAGAAACACAACTGAACTAAATCCTTCTGGTTCAAATTTTTTTTTATCTTACAAATCACAACACTGCTCTCAGTTTGTGTTCTACAAACTTGTTACCGATTAGTTCTCTTTCATCAGATGTATTGATATAATGAGGCAAAAAAGCATAAATGTGATCAAGAACAGGCACACAGATTGTACTTTTCGCACTCTACAACTCAAGAATGCATTTCTGAAGAATTTATCCAGAAATAAAACATGTCAATCAGTTTCAATGACTTATCATCTCTATGCATCAGATACTTACGTTTACATGATCAACCTGCAAATTATAATCACAGCAGTCTACATAAGTGCAGAAAGAAAGAGACTTTTGTAAAGGATGAAATCTTAATTTAGAGCGAGATAGTTTTGGTTCTCAAAGCATTTGACTAGATAAATAATACTGCTGTAAAATTATTATTGGCTGTTTTTGTTCCATTTATATCACATCATATGACATACATTAATCTCAAAATCACACAGTGTAAAAAAAGATTATTTTTAGAATAGAGAAATAAAATAAAATAAATTAACATTAAGGGGCTATTGCTAATTCAAATTATATTTTATCTTATACACACACATATATATGTCAGTGGTATAGCTAGGCTGGGAAAAGGGGGGACATCTGTCCACGGGTGCAGCATCTAGGGTGTGCCAAACGGATATTATGAAATTTTAGAATGAAATATTTATCATTTTTGACACACAAATGGGGGTGCAAAATCTTCAGTTGTCCCTGGGCGTTAAAAACCATAGCTATGGTTCTGATATATATGTAATATATTTGAAAGGTTTTCTACACAGATAGAATGATAAAACTAAATGTAGCTATAGATTCAATATATTTTTATTTCTGGAGAAGATAATTTTTAAGATGCATATTCTGATTCAAACATTATTAAGGGCAGAATCTGCACCGAATATCACATTTTTGGAAGTTGATTATATCTCAAGACAATTTAAGCTGCTACGCGTTAGTCGCAAACAAGCAAGCAAAACAATAAATTATTACCAATATTATATTGTATAAAACATTTGTAATTACGCAAACGAACGATCAAATTACATATTGCATGGTGGTAAAAAAGTTTAAGCGCACACTATGACAATGATATTAAAAATAAATAACATCAAAATTACAAAATTTATAAATTCGAAACCATTTAAAAAATTCTCAATTATTACACTTTCATAACTTGAACAATAACACCTTTCACTTTAAAAAAATCATATTTCAGAACTAATTTTGGATGTAAAATGTAATGAGGCCCCAGTGTATTTTAAAATTTTTTTTGGGGAGGGGGGCAAAAACAACTAAATTCACTTGATAATAATCTAAAGTTTTTAACTGACGAATGTAATGCATTTACGAAAGTGAAGTGAAAATATTTTTCATTTTTAAATATTGAATAGGTAGCCGAAAAATAGTTGAAACTGAATTAGGTACGAATTGCAGTAGTAACGCAACATTTCATCAGTAGACATTAGAACTTTTGAACTTACAGGTGGGCAAACACACTTTTTGAATTTTCTAGATAAAACTTGTCTGCCATGACGGAGTGTTATTGCACTAATGTGTTAATTGGAAGCAAGTAAGTGGGGAAAGTGCAATGAGTTCAAAAGAATGAAAGATTGACTGTTGAAAGATTTTTAGTTCTTAAAAAGTTTAGATTTTAATTGAAATCTTATCAGCTGATTGGCTAAACATACATGCATTGCAACATTATGTAAGATCATATGATAGGAATTAATTTTAAATGACCCACTTTACAGTGATATAGCATAAATAGTTACCATTTTTAGGACAGAAAGGAGAAACACCTAAATTAAAACGAAGAATAAAAGAGGCTACTGACAATTAAAACTAGAAGTTTGCGTAACATATTTTTACGTTACATATATAAATAGCTAGCATCATATTTATCATCTGTTATACTGTGTTACAGATACTTTAGATCTTCATGAAACCTGCACATAAATGTCAACACAGTTTTTATTCTTTCGGAGTGTAAGCAGGCTTATTCTGTGTTGGGACTAGCTGCTATGACTGATCCACAGCATTATTATCAACAGCTGTCAGTCCTTTACTTTTTTTTGTAAATGTACCTCATAAATTTTATTTTTAGCTAAATCTTAGCCTAACAATTCAAGCTCCCTTTACTATCTGCCTAAGGAGAAATATAGGAAACTGGTTTGCAGTATTCATGTTTCCATATGGGGAAGTTCATCTCTAAACACTTATGCAACCAACCTGTTTATCGGCATTTGAACTTGAGTCAAACTACCAATACTCAGCTTTGTTATTATTATATTCAACTTCACTTTGTCGCTGGTAGGCTACTTAGCAAAGTTTTAAAAACACAAGAAGTAGGAATGAAATGTCAAACTTTGTATTTCAGCCTTTTTCTAAAATCAGACCTTGGATTTTTTTATCTTGCACTCTTGGAGGGCAGTTATATTTTTGATTAAACTGAAACCATAAAAATAAACGATTCGAAATGGTGACATACTTTTTTCTTTAAATAACATTAAATTAAAAATGTTGAATTATATAAGGCTATTTCACAAAATACTTTATATGGGAATGCACTGTACATTATTCACATCAATAATACCATTAATATGCAACAGCGATATCTGCTCATTCAAAACATTAGATGGCCTTGATATGGATTGCTTTCAGTAGATGACTTCCTAACTATACACAATCAGACTTTCTGCAAATTTCAATTAAAAACTTGCTCAACGTCTCTAAGAATAATATATTGATAGCCATGAACCTTGAAAAACTATGAGATTTACATGGAAATTGAGAAAAACCAAGAGTTTCCATGCTGCACAATGATGCACTTAAAAAAGAGGCCAAATTGATTTAAATTTGCTTTATAAACAAGATTCAGATTATTTAATTGTTTGTACTGTTATTTTGATGTCAAATATATTAATATTTAATTGCATGTGCTAAATTTTATGGTTTTGTTTAACTAATTTTATTTTATTTTTAAAATTTATCCATATAAAACTTTATATGGACAAATTTTTGGTATAGATAGTTTACTTATTTTTTAATCATGATGAAAATAAAATTAATAACCAATAGCTAAAAATAAAATTAATTAACATTTAACTATAAATTAAACTATAGCACATGTGAATGAATGCATAAAAACAAAATCTCTTCACTGTAGTTAAGTTATAATCCCCTCCACTGACTTCAGCATATATGTAGATTCAATATACCTATACTGCTGGCATTAAACCTGCAACACCATGAAGGAAAGCAAATACAAAAAGGATATTTATTGCACGTAACAGTATGGCAAGAAGACAAAATGATTAAATTTGTAAGCAGTCTGGGGGGTTTACAGAGGTGCGAAATCAGTAGAAACAGCTGCCAGCCCTGGCAGTTAAAACGGCCCTTACCTGGTTAGGAATGGAGTCGAACTGGGCTTGGATAACAGAAACGGGCAACTCATTTCATGTTACTTCAAATCTCCACTACACTTCATTAACCATATTAGTTGGAGAGAGTTGGCAGGCCTGCTAGCAACCCGTGACCAGAGGTTTTCAATGGGTGGCAGATCTGGAGACCATGCAGATCAGGGCAGCAATTGAATACCCAGTATATCGAGGAAGGTCAGAATATGACGTGCAACATGTGGACTTGCATTATTTTGTTGGAAGATGGTGTTTGGCAGGCCTCGAAGATAGGGTACAACCAATGGACATAATATGTCAGAAATGTACCGATCCGCGTTCAAATTATATCCATCCGAATTAGAGATATGCGTGTCATGTACACAATGGCTGCCAAACCATCATGTTAGGTGCAGAGCCCCTATGCCGATATCGAATGCAAGCACGCCACATGCGGTTTCCTTGGAGCCTCCAGACATGTAGATGGCCATCAGAATACTGCATGCAGAACCAAGACACGGTTAAAAAGACAACATTGTGTCATGCCTGTATCCAGCTTTTTCATTCGGCGCACCAGAGTCACCGTCTCTCTCTATGCTGCATTGTCAAGGCAAGAAGTAATGGTCGCAGTGCTGATAGTTCACACTGCTGCATACGTCAACGCACCCTACGAGCAGATACTGGGCGTGCTGCAAACATGCCCATTTTCTGACATGTTTGGTCCAGGTTGTGGTTGTATGCTTTTGAAGGGCTGACCTCACACTATGTCTCTCCTCTTGGGCATTATTCATGGGAGGACACTGAGATCCTGCATGCCACTCAGTATGATCCTCAGCAATCCATCAATTCCATATTCGCATGACACTGGTTGAATGTCGAACAGTGCGGCGGCAATATCATGGAACAATAATCTACACTCTTGATATGCAACAATCCTGCCTCTATCAAATTCCGACAATTGTTGGCAAGCATTTCTTCTTCTTATTCGAGGCACAACATGATATTCTGAGCAAACTCCAACCTTACAAACTGCTTTCCGAATGAGAAATCCACTACACAACTTTTCTTTTATGCAATGCTTCAAACATCGTTTCTCCCTCCTGCATAGTCTAAATACACTGAAATACTAATCATTTACATATACCTCTTCTTCCTTTCATGTGACATCGTTTTGACTTTTGTCAGATTATTCGTTCCTAGTGTGGCAATTTTAATGGCCAGCTGAGTACTTTTGTGCTCTTCTTCACCTAATGCCTCATGTGGTCATGTCTATCACTGAAGTTTATTTTGCAGTCTGGCAAGTAAAAAGACAAAAAAAGCACTGCCGGAAGTGAAATAAGTGGAACAGTGATGTATACGATGGCCAGATGTGATGAAAAACCAGGAGAATCGGCAGCTATGACATATGCATGTTATTTAAATTTTGATATACAACATTTATAATAGCAGCTTTATAAGAATTCAAAATCCAAAGAACAAAACTATTCCTACAATAGTATGCATAAACCATCAGTCGCAGATTATTTAACCCTTTTGGAACGGACCTGTCATGTATGCAGAGGCTTCCAATGTTACCTCATAGGCGGGTGTGTCATATACAAATCACCATTTAAATTAACTGTTAGGAAGGGTATAACTACATACGAATTTTTAGGTGAAACATTTAATTAACATTTTTTATTGTCACTAGACATACCTGTTATGTTGGAATTTTCTGAGTCTGGAGAATGCTGACTTTTATTCTGTTGCATTATTTTTTACTTTTGGTATTTTGTTTCAAAATGAAAGCAAAAATCATGAAGATGAGTAATGTAAATAAACAGGTTGGCTATTAACTGAGTCAGTTGATATAAACATATAGAGGTTGTTCTTGGGGCTCCTGAATAATTTGTTTCTATTTTTGGCGATATGGGGATATATGTCTTACTGTTTTACAAGCCTTATTCATTCCTCTTAAGAGTTTGACTAGCACTAAGGTGAATATTGTAAGAGCACTAAGGTGAACATAATCCCTTAGCTAAATATTTTTTATACTCCCCCAGACTTTCTGGGAGACACTTTCCTACTTTAAATCTAAATAAAGTAGAAGAAACAGATGGTGCATAGTTTACTCACAATCATTAAAGAAAGAAAGAAAAAAAAAAAAAAAAAAGAAGTATATTTGCATCTATGTCTCAAAGTATATCATACACTGTTTACTTTTTAAATATTTGTTTCCTTTCATTGTTTTCGATCTGAGTTTTTTATGAACAATCTTATTAATAATTTTTATCAATGAAATGAAATAAAATCTACAATAAGTTTTTTTTTGGTACTAATTTTATTAAAGTTTTTGGGAGAAACCACTGGGTTTTCACTTTGCACGACAACACAATTCCCTCACATTGTGCTTGGATATTTTCATATACATATTATTATTAGGCATTTGTTGTGAAAGAATTGTACGTTATGTTTAATTTAAAGTACTGTCATCCCTTGCCGCTACTTTTTCCAATCTTTCTGGCAGTACACCGATACGGAAGAACACTTCATCTTTTCAGGATGTGCACAAATCAATCCAATTTCTGGTACCTTCATATGATTTAAATCATTGCTCAGACAGGCTACGCATCATCAATTGAAAGATGTAGTAATAAAAAGGAGCAATGTCTGGTGAATACAGTGGGAGGGAGAAAACTTCCCATTTGAGTGTTTCCGAGTAAGTTTTAACCAGCGTTGCAACATGAGGATCAGATGTATCATGCAGAAGAATAATTTTGCCATGTCTAGGTTAGTAGTTGGTGCATTTTTCTTTGACTCTTCAACTGTGTTTGGTAGGGAGCCCCAGTAATAGTTTTGTTCAATTTGAACAACTCATAACATGACACCATATTGATTCTACCATATACAAAACTTGATTTTTTTCCTATAAATATTTGTTTTGGTTGTCAATGTTGAAGCATGGGCAGGCAGTCTGCCTTAATTTCTTTTTCTTAGGGTTATCATAGTGGATTCATTTTTCATCACCAGTGACTACACGAAAAAAGAAAAGTGTTTATGTCTGGAAAATAGCATTTCAAGTGTAAAAAATTGGCATTCAACATTTCTCGGACTCATTTTATATGAAACACAATTTACTTGCTTCTGAATTATTCTCAATGATTTCAAACAACGTGAAATGGCTTGTTGAGTCACTTCTAATACAGATGCAAGTTCTACTTGCATTCAGCATGAATTTTCATCTAATAATGCTTAAAATTTCACATGTGCACACATTTTCAACCTTCTGCCACTTTTTTTTTTTGCATTTTACGTCAAATTGACTGTTCTTAAACTTTTGAAAAGACTCACAACAACTTCTCTCACTTAAGGCACCCTCACATATGCCATGAATTGATATCCCTCTGCTGTAGACTTTTTCAAATTAAAGAGGTACATCAAAAGTTCCCGAAAATAACACTCATTTGGTTCAAAACTCGAGAATTTCACATGAAAAAAATAAATGATAATGATACAAAATCGTAACTGATATTTCAAAGTTTATGTTGTTAGCAAATGTCCAAGCTTATATGACGTTTTACATCAGACAATTTTAAGCATAACTTATAGGTGGCAACATTTTTTATCAACTGGCAGAGACTTACTTGTATTCCTAATATATAAATATATATTATATATGTATGTGGAAAGTCAAAAATTTTATCATTCTAGAATTTATTATTTTATACATGTTTTAAGAAAAATATAATAATAAAGTTTTAAAATTTAATTCTGACAATCCAGTATTCTTCTCATAATGTGCCAAAAATTGGAACAATTAGACCACAAATTTAATTTATGAGAATTTTTTCCCCAAAGTTAGACTTAATAGTGCAAATTCCCTGTCACTAAAAAATAATGCATTCTGTTAGTGCGCTCTCTCAAGAGAGCAGTTTGGTGGCTCAGACAGTCATTGAGAAAGGTTTAATTCACATAAAGAAGCTATTCATACAACCATGAATGAATCAATGCTATAGCAATCACCCATAGTTTAGAGCTGAAAGAGATTGCAAATCACATTAACTTGTTATACACTACAGATAATATAACTTAAGAATCAGTCTGCAAAATTCTCAAGAGCATTTTATACATTTAACAAAGCTAAAAATCTGATCTAGCTTGTTAGACAAAGTATACAGTGTTAGCATGAAACCTGGATTAACAATTTTATAGAGTTTCTTGGATAAATCTCATATGCCAGAAGGTTTTATCTAAAACATATTTGCTGATAATTATTAAAACTATTAATAGCCAACTACCATCAAAACACACACAAGAACACAACCTCTGAATCAGATTTCTGTGAGCATTCAGAATAAATTTTTTTCTGGGTGGCGGACCTTTCCCCCATAAAAAATTCTCAGGACAATGCTTGTTCATCTTCACGAATTTTTAACTGTATTTTAGCTGACTGTACATTTACTAGATCTGTTACAAAATGAAGCAGAAGCAATATGTCCCGTTTTAACGAAGATTTCCTACCACTGCGAATATTGTCTGCACAAACAGTTTGCATTGCTGTGTTTAATCACATTTTGTCAAACGATTTTTTGGTATTTGAAAGAAAGAGACTTGCTTTAGAACACTGTATTTTGAAATTTGTAAAAAATATTGTTACAATTCAGTACAAGATGTCTGAAATGGAACTATCATGCTACCAGATTAGAACCATCATTTACTCCCAGTTCTGTAGCAAAAGAACAGCTATACAATTTCACCAATCATGTGAACGTTTGATATCGAAAGTTCAAAAACAAGACTATGACATTCAAAAAGCAGAAGTCTCTGGCCGGCCTACTGATGTTCATGAGGCCCATCTGCGAGAACTTGCGGAAGGGTCACTCTGTATGGCTGATAGTGTATTGCTAGTTACTGGTTAATACACAAGGTTTGAGAATTTTGTCCTTGAAATCTCATTAAATTTACCATGCTATACTCTGCATCAATTTAACTTTAAAATACTACATTAAAAATCATGCTTTTTGGGAGATTAAACTCATTAATTAATTTAGTCTATAAAATATTAAATAACTTACGCATTGTCTAAAACTGGACCTATCCTCTGTAAGGTTTTTGCAACATTAAAACGAACATTTGCAACATTGTCATTTGCCAATCCCAACACTGTTGGTAGCATATATTTTGCTGTTATTTCTGGGCCACAAGCTTCAGCTAAAACCTACAAAAATTTAAAGGAAAAGTGATTACATTTGCATGTGAAACAAAGGCACATAAATGTATTAATGTTGATACTTAAATATCAAACTTTAAACGGTAAAAACTTTACACTAAAAACAGTAGACAAATGAACTTTTTTTTTTATCAAAAATAATTTAAAATTCTATAGCATCCAAATTCCTCTGATTAATATATCAGAAAAACTCCAATATTCTAAAGCCATCTACAATCTCTTTTAATTATTTATGTCTAACATTAACATATGAAACATTTTTTAATACCAAGGTATTAACCATAACTATTATTGTCTGCTTACATAAATTCTTAACTTATTCACCCTGTTACATTATTTGGTAATATGTTTTCCAATATTTGCCACAAGAACTTAAAGATCATGTTTAAAAATTCTACATTAATAAAATATAAACACTATTAAGAACAAAAAGGCAATAAGAAATAATGCAGCAATACATAATACATATAAAAGCTTCTAAAATTGAGAACATTCACACTACTACATTTATTAGAAAATTCTAATTATAAAAATTTTAGAAATGTATAACAAAATTTCATGGTCATATAGAATGAACTCAAATTTCCAAGCAGGCAGATTATCATTATTATTTCTTCATAATGCTCAATATCCCCCCAAAGACTATCTAAATTAAACAACTGTACTAAGATGCAATATAAAATTAATACCTAAACTGTAACTGATCTTTCATTGTGAGTTTTATAATTTTCTTTGCTTTTTAAAAAATGATTTTTCATAAGGTTTAAAAAAAATTGGTTACTAATTAAAATACATGCAACACTAACTTTTAGCAAGTCAATAAGAGCTGATTTTTGACAAGCAAATAGCAGAAAATGAAAATGATCAATTATTACACATAGAGTTTTAACATCAACTTTTCATTCATTCACTTTTAACAGAAAATAAATAATTTGTGTTTGGCCCATTTTCAAATTTTATTTACATATGCTGTCCCAGAAGAAAAAAAAAGGAAATTCCCTAAAAACTTTTCACGTTTACGTGAGCACTGCAAGGCTAAAAAGAAATAAAGCTATTTCTTCCCCTTTTTAACATCCCTTCAATTTCCTTAAATTTAGAAATCATTATTTGGTTTCCATTCAACCTTTTCTGTATCTTGATGTCCCCTGCCTAGGTAGCCCCTTCCCCAAACTTTTCTTCCCGTTGACATTGCGATCTGATACTGACTATCCCTACTTTTTTGGCCTTTACATATTACCCCTCAATATTTTATTTTAAAAATAAACCCTTCGGTTGCTTATTTGTCAAGTTGCAGAGGGAATTTTAAGTTCGTTTTATTTCATGGTCTAAACCACCACATAAAGGCTCAATTTAAAATATGGAAAACTTTTTGTAGTTTACAAAAAAAAGTAAAAAAATAAATTAGGTTACAAAACAAAGAGGTGGAATAACATAAAACTTGAAAGGGGCAGGTATTTTTGCCTACGATCACATTTTTTAAGATTTATATCTAAGAAATTTCATTGCATTGCTAAAATTAAACTTTAATTTTTATCTTGAATTTCTTTCCCCCCCTTCTGGGACAGCACATGTAAGCAAAATTTGAAAATGGGCTGTTTTTCCACAGGGAGGGATGAGATTTAAAGCATATTTGTAAATATTTTTTCTAGGTAAAAAATATTAAAACTTCTGACTTCTAGGTTTTTGCAAGTTCGAGAAATATGTTTAATTCAACACAATCAAATTTTCCTAAACACAAATATGAAAATTTAATACCAATGGTATTAAAAATATAATAAGTGTTATATTATCCAATTTTTCATAATAAGAATGTTTACTAAAATAAAAACAAAAATATTCTACATATGTAAAACACACAACAGTAATTATGTAGTATGCAATCTACCATTTTCAGTTATTTATTTTTTGGACGAAAGTGACAAAGTTATTGTTTTAATAATTTCTTTTGTATGTTTTTTTATTGTATGTTTCCTCCTTCCATTTTATTATATGAAATTAAATATAGTGTTTTATTGGCCCCTTTTGAAAAATAAACAACTGACGAAAAGTGGTAGATTGCATACTACACGATTACCCATAAGACATTATCGACATGTTACATCTGTCATTCATGTATGCAATGGTATTTATAAACATCCAAGTCTTTCAACATCATCAGTCAATTACACAAATCATAGGGGCTAACAGAAAGGAATTATGAAGCTTTTCAAGTCCTTGCTTTCTTATAAATCCAGTAATGTAAAGATAATTGTAATCTACAATTTAACCTTTTAACTGTCATACCCGAAATAATCTCGGGCGCAGCACTGGTGTACCAAAATGTCACGCCTGAGTATTACTTGGGGTAATTTTTTTTTTTTTCAGTGCATCAAAATGTTACCCGGATATATATCGTGAGAAGTTTATTTCGGCTTCAATTCAATAGATGGCAGCAATTTACTGAAGGTTTCAAAGGATAGAAGTTTATGTTCAAAGTGCGCAGCATTATTTTTTAGATTGCGTAGCAGACATTTGTTTTTTGCAATAAAAAAATTGACAATTTATGCACCCAAATCATCAAAATAACTTGACAGTTAAAAGGTTAAAGACAGTTTTTTTAAAGTGGTTCCTTATTTTAACATTTAGAAGAAAATCTTTCAAAAGTTATTAATTGATCCCTCTATTAATACACATTAAGGAGGCAGCTCATTTAAGATTACACAATGAACAATAGAAATATTTTTAATTCGTTCATTAGATAAAATTTTTTTAGGGAAGAGAAACAAGAGATACACATATAAGCTACAATAGAAGATAAAATTACCAAAATTGATAAAAATCATAAAAAAAAAACCAAAGAACTATGTAAAGATATTACAATACTACTCGAATGCGTAATAAATATGCAGTAGTGCCAATCATCACCAAAAATAATTTATGTGCATATCGTATGTGCCTAAAAACTATTTTTTACTTGCCAATCTAGTAAACTCAAAAATCTGGAAACTTTACATGAATTGGGAAGATAGTCTCAGAGACAAAAATTATTTTTAAATGATAAAAACATACAAATAGATTTTTTATTTGTTTTAAACTTTCAAGTACCATCTAATCAACAGCTAAAAAAGTCTAGATACCAGTTTTGAATATAAATTTCGTCAAAATATTTACATGTAAAAAGGCATTTCAATTAATTTATACATTTATATATATATGCATAAAAACACAATTTGAAATATACATTTTCATTTCCACTAGAGGATATTCAATAATAAAAAAGCATTTACTTCAGTAAAATATAAAACAGATTAGCTACTGACAAATTATGATTACCTGAGAAAGACTACCTTTATTAAATGTTTTCTACAATAGACTGACTTTATTTACACAGTATTTTAAGAAAATAAAGAGGCCAGCCAGTTTCATTGCTGTGAATAGTTTTGGGCAAACTATCAATATTTCATGATTTCAGACACTTATAGGTCAAAAATTCAACATTTTTGGGAAAGAAATAATTCCAGTATCAAAATCGCAATAACAACCTTGTATTTAGCGTACATATATTAAAACACTCAATCGATTTCGAGGGCAGCTAAAGGTCCCTCCTCATCAGGAGAACGAAATTATTAGAAAGGAGAAAAAAAAAAGCATCGGCATCGGAGTCGCAGAAATACGCGCAGTGCCGACCATGTGTTTCTGCAACTCCGTTGCCGATGCTTTATTTTTCTTTTTTCTCCTTTCTAATAATTTCGTTCTCCTGATGAGGAGGGACCTTTAGCTGCCCTCGAAACCCATTGAGTGTTTTAATATATGTATGCTAAATACAAGGTTGTTATTGCGGTTTTGATTCTCACATTGGCATGTTTCACTTCTATTCTAATTCCAGTATGTTAAGTTTATAGTCATACATATAATTCAGGAATACACAATAACACTAAACTGAACTTAAAAAATCTGATGTGGACACCACATGACTTCCTTGTACGGAATATCAAATTATACGCATTTTTTTCTTGAATGTCATTTAAATTGATTGGATTGAATTAAATCTACTTCGTCGACAGCGCATAAACCACAATAGAATAAATGCACTCTTTAAAATTCACTATATTTGTTTACTATAACGACACTCTGAATGCACAAAATTTATATCATTTGAAGAATTATCTTAATCGTTGCCACATGTTCTATTCAAAATACTATAATAAAGCTAGAACGATGTATGAAAGAAATTAAGCAAACAAAACAGAAAAGAAACAGTTTTTCACAGACGATTTAGTATTTCTCATTCAATTAATTCAGTTCTCACTTCGCGACAAGGCAAAATTTCATAAAAACTTTAAATATCCGTATTAAAAATTATGAAGTAAATCTTAAACACTTATTTCCTTGAAAAAATTCCAGAAAGGATTAAGCATGATTTAATTTGCAATAATAAATGAAGGCGTTATTTTTGTGTTAGTCTCTCTAGATTGGCAACAAATCTACAATTCCGTTTTCAAATGTAAACAATAAAGTCCGCCATGTTTAAAAACTTAACCTGCACTTAAACAACTTTTTAAATTGTTGATAATTGTGCAAAAATTGCATCCAGAATTACTAAGGCATAAAAACCTTAACCGAAAGATAAGAACAACATAATTCAATTATTTTTAAAGCAAAAAATGTAAAATTTACAAACATATAAGAGTAAAGAAACTGAGATCACTGTGCCGAGTAACAGAGTGGATATATATATATAGTATTTATATACGTTTGGTGCGGCCGATTGCAACCAAAATACAACATGCACATCTACATGTTATAGCAGTCCTATATACAAAATTTTAACGTTCTGAGGCTACTCGTTTTCGAGTTTTGCGAGATACGTACGTACAGACACCACAAAAAATTCTCTTCAGAATTAATTTTAAAGCAGTTTTATCATTTTTTTTTGAGGAAACGAGTATTTTATTCTGTCCTTACGTACAGATATCACGCAAAAACATCCTTAAATTGCATTCGATAGCGGTCAAAATGAATATTTTCGTTGAAATATGCTGCCTGAAACTTTTCGCGATTACAATACAGTCAAAAGTCGTTAATTTGGACACCCATAATCCGGAATGACCTATAATCCGGACCTCAACGCTAAAAACCTTCTGCGCATTCGCCACATTGACACATGCGCATAGGCGTTTACATGTTCGCGTGAGATCTTTACTGATGCAGAAGCAAAGTTTAAAGTTGTAAAAATAAACTTTTAACAAGAGTAGCAATAGAAGCTCCCTAAGGTTATGTGCTGTGCAGATATTGAAGACAATAAAAGGTTCAAACTAACCAATTTATTAACATATATAAAAATAAAACACAATGAAAATTTAACAATATCAGAACTAAAAATTATAATATAACCATCTTATCACAAATTTCATATTTAAATAATATTTTACTGGTCTCCAAAATAATGGGATTCAATACGCGAAAAACATATCCTAAACAGAAATTATGCGGTTTTAATAAAATTAGCTACACTATCAATAAGTCCATGCTTAATGGTCAAGAAGGCAGCTGAAAATTAAATTAAATCCTTGAGAGCACTTAAAACCGGCTAATTCCGTTCACTGTAGTTACACGAGGAATCACGGCTTAGAAAAACATCGCCGCTAACTTGTGTTAAATGCTGCCTTCATGAAGAACATAGATGCCGCCCACGGCAGTCACTCACATCGTAGCCTCTTTTGAGAATTCAGGAAAAGTCATCTTGTAGACTTGTACCACGGAACTTATTCGGGAAAAGTCATCTTGTACACTGGAACCACGGAACTTATCACCGGACTGCACGCATCGCAAGACGTCTTCCAATAGGGGCTGGAAACTGCACACCCAGGAGCCAAGAAAACAGGAACTAGAAGGGATGAGCCAGAGCGACGCGAGATACTTATACCAGAAGTAGGCATGACGTCATCTCACGGCAAGCAATCAGCTATCAACACGACTCGGCTTTCCAGATGACGTTACATCAAGTTTCGTTTTTGCATCTTAATTAGGCTGAAAGAGTCCGTTCTTAATAAAAACAGTGGCAGTGAAAAACGAAGTAGAAGTAACTACTATATCCCTTTAAAATAAGAACTAAACTAGATAAATATTTCAAGGTGGAGAGATGATGCAGAAAAAGGGTTACAATAGGTCATATTCTCCAACATTTACGACTGCGCATATGCGTGTGCGCAAGCTCAGAATACGTTTTCGCATGCGCATTTAATGTATAACAGACGGTATAAGCTAAAATTATCTATTTCAGTTAATATTGATGATCATGTTGTTCCTTAATCTTCGAATTGGATGCGGCTTATTATTTTTTGCAGACTGTAAGAGCAATGTTATAAAAGTAAACTTGAACTTTCGATTATGTCAAATAGAATTTCGGATGATGGAGCTCCCAAAGGATCTACAAAACGAAAGTATGCTTCGATGTCCATCAAACAAAAAGTGGAATTGCTGCAAAAAATGGATAAAGATATGAAGAAGGTGACTGTGAGGTTAGAGAAAACGAAAAAATTTCTATTGACAAGTTATTCTCGGCACAGCAATTACGGGACTTGAACAGTGGAACTTTGTAACTAAACAAGAAATTATGTCTGTTTATAGAATTAAAGAGAAAGTATTATCACATAAAACGAAGCAACTTAAACAACTTACATTGAAAGAAATGTTTAGTAAAGTAAACAAATAAATATTAAGCTTTTTTTTTGTAAATTTTGATACCCTTTAGATCATAATTGTTTTTTATTTCATAAATTACGGTTTCATATTCTTAATTTTAGAATTTCTGCATGCCATCTTACGAGATTTAAACTGATGATCTATAACCCAGAAAAATCGATAATCCGGAATCGCCGAAGTCCCGACGAGTCCGGATTAATCACTTTTGACTGTACTTCCTTTTTACTTCGTACAAGGAAGTAAAAATTAACAGAACTTTATAATACATTTGGACTAAACCTGCATCATTAAATTATATTTGATGGAAAGCAGAAGTAGGCCTGCTCACATCGGTTAAAGTTTTTGCTGAACTACCAGTATTCAGTGGTTTTAACAATTGAACTGTCTTTTTAATTATTTATTTTTTTTAAAGAGAGAAATGAATATTTGAATATTTTTTTACTACAAGATCTTACTTAAAATATTTTTTATTGGAGCACTGGGATGAAAGCAATTTTATTAATGAAACCAGGTAAAATAATTTTATAAAAGTAAACAAGCAATATCAACTTTCTCAGCTGCACTTGTCACAACATAAACGTAAAATCTGATATACTCAAATGAATCAAATAAATAAAATTTTTTTATTAAAAAATATTCTAGTACATAAAATTTCATTAATTGGCCTAACTATGCAACAAAACAATAGTTTTAGACAACAAACACTTAAAAGTTTTAGATAATGACTACATGAAGTTATTAAAAAATCAAATACTTACATTCACACAAAATAAACATGTCATACGATGAAGATAGTTCTGATCTTGTGACATTGTTAATACTTTTGGTATAACAGTGTTAGTAGCCCAATCAGGACCAAACTTTTCAACAAGTTTCTTTAAGTTCTGTGTTGCTGCTTCTCTGATAGCAAATACTTAAAAAGAAAATTAAAATAAGAATTTGCACGCAAAACTACCATTAATATAAAATGATACGAATAATAGTATGGATACATACCATGATCTACAAGCCAAGTCATACACAATGTATTCAGTTTTTCATCAAAAAACTCAACACCCTATAACAAATGCATATATTTTATATAAATAAAAAAACCAAGTAGTAAACAAATTTACATATACAAAACAGATATGTATTTTAGACAACTTCATATTATCACACCACAGTTAATATTTTTGCGTTTTTATTTTCAGACACTAGTTGTTACGTTATTTTCTTCCTTCACGGTCGTAAGGTATTCGTAGATTTGGAGTGAATAACGACGACACTTGATGAAGTATCGAAACACACTTTATTTAACCAATATTAATGAGGACAACTCCAAAGTCACGTTTTGCAGTCGTCGAAGATCTACCGTCTTTTTCCGAAAATAAGACACTGTCTTACTTTCTTTTTTGGTCCAAAATACGCGCTAGGGTTTATTTTCGGGGTAGGGCAAAAATAAAAGTATATTTATATATTTTTATTTAATATTTAATTTACACAGAATACAGAAATTTAAATTTATTCAATTACAGTCACGTTATCTTCTTCTGGAACATTTTAATAAATAAAATTCTGATTTTCTTCCAAATCCATTTCCTGTGGAATCATTGGTCTGAATCTCTCATGTCTAAGTAGCCTGTTTGTAGTGCATTGGAAACATCACTATCAGTTATATTTTGTCCTATGAATTTTTTACCCAATTCACAACTTCTTGTAAGCCTGGTTTTACAAAATTACCTCTATGATTTCTCACCATTCTGTTTTCAATATATTCATTGATTTCCATCCGCAAATGATCCTTGAATGGCTTGTTTATTGCAATGTCAAGTGTCTGGTGGTAACTAGTCATTCCTTCCGGAATCATTATTTGATCAATCTTCCTCTCAGCTAGAAAGTTTTTCATGTCTTTAGCACGGTGAGTATTGGCTGAATCCCAAACAAGTAAACTTTTATTCTGACTCCTCAACAGTGGTGGCAGCATAAAATTAACCCACTTTCTTATAACTGCTTGGGTGCACCAGGCTGCTTTTTCACTTTCAATGACATAAATTCCTGAAACACATTGAATCAGGTCTTTTTTACCTTTAGTGATTAAAAATGGCGATACTTTCTTGCCATCTAGACGAATCGTCAAAATACAGGTAACACATGCGCTATCGTAACCGGGAGAAGAAACATAAATTGATGAAGAAGCCTTGTGGTGAACTGTCGTTTGAGCTCCTTGGCCTAGGAATACCGCGGTCTCATCCATAGCAATCATGTTGGAGAGTTGGTATTTCGAAAAATCGATGCCATCAACAAAAAGCTTAAACGCAAGTGCACGCTTAACAACTTCATTGTCTTCCAGCTTAAACAATGTTGTTGATCTCCTTAGAGACAGTTCATATCGTTTAAGGAAGTTGTCCAACCAGTGTGATGATGCTTTAAATTCTTCTGTGGATATATCAAATTCAATTGCTGTTTCAAGGGCAAATTTTTGAATATCAGCCTTGCGCACAACCAAAGCCATTGCTCTCTGCGTTTTTTCTCATTTCTTTGGTCCACCAGTTGACACAGGTAATCGTAGTCTGCACGCCATTTACGAACCATACGGAGATCCAGCATCTTCTCTTTACAGAATGCTACAAGATTCACACCCCTGGAGTCTTCCACGATTCCCTTTTTGCACTTGACGGAATAGCTCTTTCGTTTCGTACTCATTTTAACTGGGGTTAAAAATTATTCACTTTATTTTTAAATAAAAATTACGTATGAGGAAATAATCAGACTTACAAGACTGAAATGAATGAACGTTGTATACCTGCACTGTCGCTCAATGTAGACTGCTGCCTTATGTTGTATTTTTAACCAGTTCACCGTTAGGAAAATCGCAAACATCTCATGCCATTTTTCGCATCCAAAGGTAAACTTTTTGTGTCTAAAACTGGGCTCAGAGTATTTCTTTTCCCCTTTCACCATCTGTGAAAGCCTATTTAGAAGTTCTGTTCAAATCAGATTTAACAGCGTACCTGTCACACTGAAGGATGGTGAATAACGATCCCCTAAGGGGCAACATAAAACACAAAGACTGGTGTAATCCTTAGAGCAGATATTTTCCCCTTTGCACCCAACCCCAAATCTACTGCAATCTATTACAATGTAAACGTAATTTTTAATTGTCAAGAAAAAGCTTTATATGAAGTAAAAATAAGGGCATTAAATAGTATTTGAAATGTCCTTGAATTTTATTTTATTATTTTCTTGATGGCCTGTAACAAAAGAGAAGAATTGAATTGAAAAGATAGCATTCAAATCCCTTTGTTCGTTAATAGAAAGGGAGAAAGCTATTGTGGATCTCATAAGATATATTGAGGGGGTAGCTATTCGAAGAAAGTGTCCCCATCCTTTACTTTCCTGAAACAGCCCCGCTGTGATCCTAATGCGACACCGCTGAGAAGATAAGCAACCCATCAATCACCCCTTTTGATTTCGATTCTGTGGGGGTTGGAAAAAGGTCACTGCGTCGTGTCTCATGGGTTACGGTTTAGCCCAAATTTCACCCTGACGCTAACGGATGACGATGCCTTTCCTGTGAACGTATCTCTATTGGGGCAAACGGTGAACTGGTTAAGATAAATTCCAAGAATTAATTTGAAACGAATTGTAGAGGTAAACAATTAATTTCTCAGAATATTTTGTTTCAAACATTTCTCTGAAATACGAGTATTAGGAAAGCTAACATATTATTATACTTAATAAAAATCAACAGCACTTTTAATGAATTCTTTTTGTCACATTATTTAACTAGGGATTATTTTCTGGGGATGTCTTATTTTACCAAAAGTTCTGAAAATCACGATAGGGCTATGTTTGGAGGATGTCTTATTTTCAGAAAAAGAACGCTGATTGTGTCACTGTGTTTATAGTAGTTCTTCCACGACTGTAACGTGATTTTGGAGCTGTCCTGATTAGTACTGGCTAAACAAAGTGTGTTTCGATATTTCACAGGGGTGTTTGTGGGACCCCAAAAAATCTCCTGAAACTTTTGCGGACTTACTACCGACATTTTGGAGTTTCGAGAAGGGGGGGGGGAGAGAAATGAAAAATTACAATTATGAAGTATTGAATGACCTAATTATAAAAGTTCAATGAATCACTTTTTTTGCAAAATTAATAACCATAAATTTTCAAACATATAAAACTACTACATTTTATGTAAATATTTTAAATTACTTGAATTAATTCTTTAAAAAAATTATCTAATTCTGCTGCTTTTTTTATTTTCTGATGTTTGTGGCTTGTCTTTCTTTTGTGGTGAACTTCATAACTGCAGGAAGGTTGACTTTTATTTTCCTCATTTACAGTTTTGAAGAAATTTCCTGAGAACTGCACATGCAGAGGTAGAAGCAGTTTGCTTCTCTGCTATGTAGAAGGTTTTTCAGAGACTTTTATATGTGACTCATCTGAAATAAATGTTTTTAAGTCCTCTTGATATATTTCCAACTTCTGTTCATATTCAGTAAGAGATCTTTGTGAATTGGATCATTCATTGGATTTTGAGCCATATTTTCACATGAGGCTTTTTTAGAAGCCATTAAATCATATTTACTAGTCTGCAACTGCATCTAGGGATCAATCTTAAGAGAGGTTCTATTAGTCAGTGACAAGGTATCCATTAAGGTGAATGTACTTTCCACTAATTGGGCCATGGAAGCAGCTAAGGCAGGCTTTGACCAATTTAGCCAATGTAGGATACTTATAATCATTTGTGAAATCATCTTTTAAATTAAAAACTTTAGATCAATATTTATCATTGTACACTTGACTAGATTTCCACTTTCATCAGATGTGTAGAGCATTTCTTTGGTGATATCATATCACTCTGGTATAACCTTATTAGCTTCTACTTTTGACTTTTCATTATCACTAAAAATATGGGACATAAAAAGATAATTTTTTAAAAGCAATATTGTACTGGTTTTACCTCTTAGCTCTGTCTAATGCTGTAAACTAATTAGATATGAATTTTAAGGGTAATTTCTGTTTTCATATGCTGTGCTGTATTAGTATAAGCTTTCATCAGAGAATTGGAATTCTTTTTGCTATTGGATGATTTTTTGATAATTTCTAGAGAGTGAAAGCTTCTGCCACCAGTAAATTACTTTGCTAGGTAGATGGAATTTTGGATTTAAGACATCAACCTTTAATAAATCATTATAAGATGTACACTCTATATTTTCTGGCTTCATAAAAAAAGAGAAAATTTTGCCATCAATTTATAAATACTGGTATGTATTAAATTGAAGCATTGGTTTTTTTTTTGTTTCAAATCATTTAATATATGTGTTGAACTCTGGTAATACTGCTGAATATAATGCCATATGCAATATAAGTTTTTTTTGCATAACATAAAAAACCCATTTAGTATTCTTTTTTTCCGAGCTAAAGCATCCTTTGTGAGTTGTTGGAATGCAAGCAAGAATACACCCTTCAACAATTTTTTTCTGAGCTGCAGAAATATTTCTTTTATTGTATACAGTTTCAACATAAGAAAAATAATCCCCTTTATCAGTTTTATCCAAGTAGTGAAAATAAAATGCAATAAGAGCATCCCACAGATCTTTGATTCTTTCTAAACACATAAAATGTACACCCACCTATGGTCTGGTCTCTTAAAGGGCTTAAGTTTTTTAATGGCAAGGGATTCACAGATTTTGAAAAGATTTCTCTTTTACTGCAGCTTTTCAATCAAATAGATGTCCATCAAACAAATCTTCTAAGTATCTATCAAAACTGAAGCAAATTTTTTGCACAGTTATTAGCTGTGTGACATGTGTCACCATCAATATCTAATAAGTGGGGTGCTTTGTTTGATCGTAGTCTGGTTTCAACACCCTTTTTTTTTTCCACGCATGGTGTTACATGAGTCCATTAATACACTAATAAAGTTTGCCCATGGAATATTATATCTTCAATAGTATTAACAACTGCTTTAAAAACAGCTTCTGAATTGCAAGATTCCATCTTTAGAGATGCAAAATGATGAACTACAACGTCATTTTGATGTTGTCATAAACTGCACCAATATTGCCA